TCTTTTATTGTGAAGCTATCAACGGAATTGCCGATCGGTGAGGGCCTGGGCAGTTCGGCATCGTTCGCGGTTTGTCTCGCGGCGTGTTTTTGGCGTTGGTCCCTACTGCAGAAAGGGACTGTCCTCTACGAATTCGGCAAACAAGATCTCCTAAAGATCTTGAATTATGCTCAAGATTGTGATTCTATTATATACAATTCCTCGACTAAGATTGATACCATAATATCCACGTATGGCATGATAAAAATATTCGACGGAGAGGTAATAAATACGCCGACATCAAAGTCTTTTTCTAATTTGCCAGGCATGAAAATTCTGCTAGTCTTTTCGAATATTAAGCAGAAAAAGAAAAGCAAAAAGAGTATGAAAATTGAAGAGTTGAAGAATCCACATTTGTTAATCGATTTCATTCTGAATAGTATCGAAATAATGTCAACTATGTTTATTTATGTGCTCGATATTATTGACATAAAAATATATAATTGTTCAAAAAAAAATGACAGCCAATCTATTAATATAACAGATGATTATAAAATATTAATGGTAAGTCTTATTATCTAAACTCCGGTATATCTACTTTGGTATACTTTTATTACACGTACTTGTGACGATCGTCTCTTAAAGATTTCCGTATATCGCTATACGTTGGAAACTTTAATTATTTTTTAACGTATTTTGCAGGATATTATTCACATGCATCAAGGACTACTAAAAACATTAAGCATGTCGCATCCAAACCTGGACATTATTTGCGCAATTGCTCGAAGTTTTTCATTCGCGGGGAAGCTTGCGAGTAAAGGTGAAGGTGGATACGCTTTCATTTTATTACCGAATAGCACAGACGAAGCCATCCACGATCTTATCACGATATTGGAATCGTATAATTTCCCTGCTAAGATAGCCACTTTGAATTGTAGCGGAATAAGAGTTGAATAACGATTAAATTAACAAATTAATGGGCAAATAAATATATAAGCAACGTACTGACTTAAGATGACTTAATTACAACAATCAGAGATATACAGATATGTTGTAGAGTTTGATATATATTCTTTGTGTTATTAAAATAATATTAAAAATACAAATATGTTAAAATTATATAATAAGATGATAATAAAATATTAACTTTAGCTAATAATATGTGAAAATGTGAAAATGTTTGATTGTAAATTATATTTTTCAAATTATTTATTGTGTATAACATTTTTTTATAAATTATACGTTATTATAAATTATACTTACATACTATATATATTTCTCTATCTTTTTATTTAGCAATTGTGTATGCATGCGTATGTCTACGTATACATATAAATGACATTTAATTTAACCTGAGTTCTTTAGTAATACTACGTTAGCATTCGCTTCGCTACTTGTATACACTGTCCAGATGGATTTTATCTAAATAATTTTTTCCAGTATCATGTTACATGTAAAGATATCTCTAGAAACATATCTCGTATATTTTACTGGCACGAATTTCAAATACAAATTTACTGATGTTCAGTTTTCTAAAGAAATAGAAAAGTTTGTCAGCTTGTCAAAGGAATACACCGATACATACGAATGTAGTAATCATACACATCAGTTAAGTTTGCAAGTATTCTTTTTTCTTCTCTTTCTTATTTATTATTAACGAAATATTATTATGACATCATCTTTTATCGTGAAAATATCGAGAGAATTTGCGATTGGAGAAGGTCTGGATAGCTCCGCATCCTACGCGGTATATCTTGCGGCATGATTTTATCGCTAATTTCTTCAAAAAGGGCTTGTCTTCTACGAATTTGAACATCTTATAGATATTTTGAAATACGCCCAAAGTAATACAATTCTTCAATCATGACTCTGTCGTATCTGTGCATTCGATACACGTATTCGATCAAGAATTAGCAATGTTTACTGGTGTACCGAGCATAAAGATCTGACGGGTTTTCTCGAATACTAGCCAGAAAATCATAGCCAAGCAAAGCGAGCAAATGAAGATAATATGAAATAATATCCACATTTGTTAAATATACTCAAATAGAATACTATCAAAGTTATATTTAAAATGTCTACTGAAATTTTTAGATTGAAGATATACAGTATTTAAATGAGACTAGCATCATCTATACTTCGTACGAATATCCATTTTATTTGAACTACTGTAAAAGATTATCAATAAGCCTCATTCTGAGAACTTTAATATTATATTTTTGTTATGATTTATGATTTGATATAAGTAGGTACATAATTATAATATCTTTTAGGAGCAGTTCCACCAATGTAAGATTAAATGTAATCTAGATTCAATTTACTTTTTATCTTTTCCAAATTCTAAAACCCTAACAGCACAAAAGTTACAATATTGCTGCAATATTGTAGCAGTATTACACATTGCAGCAATGTTGCAGCAATATTGTTGCAAGCTTTGTGATATTGAGGAAATTTAAAAAGATAAGCAATAAGTTAAATCAAGATTAAAGTTGATCTTACACATGAATGGACTTAGAAATTCTTGTATATAATCTGTCGGAAACCGTAGTTTCTTATAACATTTGCAGACTCTTATCCACGTGAATCAAGGATTCTATGTACACTGGGTATGTTGCATCCAAATCTAGACATTAATTACGCAACTGCGCGGGATTTTTCACTTGGAGAGAAAATCACTAATAACGGCGGAGATGGGTGCATTCAATCCTCTGCTACCAAACAGCACAAACGAATTCATTCAAGAACTTATCAAGACATTCGAGTCGCATAATTTCTCTGTCAAGATAGCCACTTTGAATTGCAATGAATTGAGAATTGAATAGCATAATAGTTGGAATAAATAATTTACTCGTAATATCAATAGTTAAATATAAACAACAAATAATTCATATTAAGAACATACATTGTGAAGAAAAATAGAATTTTATATAATAATTCTGCGCGCGTTAACGGATCAAATATATAAGCTGTATTCTAAAGACTTAGGACGCTCGTACGGAATACAAAAGATCCCGGTTCGACTCCTGGCCGAGGTAATATTTTTCGCAATAAATTTATTTACAGCTTTTCAATACATTAACATCTTTCTAATAAAATCCTAGATTGAGCAACAAATTATTAAATTGTTTATTAATTTAATTTGTGATATTACTATAGTAGTTTGATTGCATTTACAAGTTCAATCATTTCGGTGCGCAATTTAAATAAATATTGTATATATTTAGTATATAAATTTACATAGAAATTACTTAAAAATATTAAAAATATTAAACCAGTTTTCGGTATAGGCTTCTAGTTTATCGATTGTGTTCTCATGTACGGTCTAAAATATCATTCTTATTGTACATAAATAGTAATTATATTTGTATATTATGTTCTAATTGTTTGGGTGGTTTGAATTTATTAAACTAAATTGTCCTTAAACAGGAGAAATCCTTTCTTGTTGTAAACATTATAAATGTTTATAACTCTGCTCTGAAA